TCGAGAATCCGAAGTGACTGCACTGTGACACGAGTTCGGTGTAGAAGACACGGGTAAGTCGGTTCAAGGACACTTGGGCCAAAAGAGGCGAGGCCCATGAAGATCAGAGTCAACTCAAATTCAAACGTTGAGCATTAAAGCCGAAGAATCAAAACGGACACATTTAAGAAGAAATAATTGTACTTAATTACTCATTTTAAATGTCGTTTAGCTATGTATAAATATAGAGGCCAATGGCCATGTAAAGGGGATCTTCCTCTCAAGAAAGAAATACTATAGCAATTTTCGTATCAATTTACAAGTTCTTACGTATTCATTTTTGTCCCTCAAGAATAATCTTTCCCACTTAACAAAATACTTGAGTGTGTGAATCCGACATTCACAATTGTCTCTATCTTTATCTGATAGGGTAACTTCTATACCCTTCTGCAGAGGTCGACCTTCAACCACGCTTCTATCAGCCTCAATATCTTCATTGCGATTAACTGTTTCTTGAACTGGTACTGAATCTTTAAGGAACTCTAAACAAAATGCAACGCATTCTCCAGCTAAATACCCCTCAGCCATACATGCTTCTGGCCTTGCATGATTCTTAACAAAAGCCTTAAGTGTTTTCATGTACCTATAACTCAGTCAAGAAATGAATATTAGTCCAATATCATTGCAGTAAATACATATATTGAATCAAATGAGTACATATATCAAACCTTTCAAATGGATACATCCATCGAAAGTGTACTGGTCCTCCCAAACGTGCTTCTTTTGATAGATGTATTGGAAGGTGGAACATGATATCAAAAAGGGATGGAGGGAAGAAGCGCTCCAGTTGACACATTGTTTCCACAAACTCTGTCTCCATTGTCATAAGTTTCTCCGGGTCGATGATGCGCTGACACAACCTGTTGAAGTAACTGCATAATCTATTTATGGCAATCCTAGGACCCTTATGTAACAACCCTCTTAATGCAGCTGGTAACAAGTTCTGTACTAGGACATGATGATCATGCGACTTTAAACTACCTATATTTGGAGGGGTAACTGAAACACTATTTGCAATATTACCACAATAACCATCAGGACCTCTAAACTTAGATAATCTTTGGCAGAAAATGTTTTCTCTTTCTTGGAAACCAATAGCTGCTGG